GTCCTCTCTGGGCTTCAGGTCCCTGATCTGTGAACTATGACGGCTTCATGGGACACTTCGGTGACTGCCAGCCTTGCCTTTTGTAAGCCTTACGCTGCAAGGGGTTCTGTCATCATCTCCATTTATGGAAGGGAAACAGGCTCGGAGAGTGACCACGTCACCCAGCCAGTAAGTGATGGGCTTGGTACTTGAACACAGGCGATCTGACCCAGCTCCTGCCTGAGGTCCTTGCCATTATCAATAACATCGATGGTCAGGTGGCAATCATTTTCCCTTTTCTATTGATGGAAAAGCTGAGGCCCAGGGGGGCAACATCTCTTGCCCAAGGATGCGGAGCTCAGGTGGGTCTCCCGCAGTGCGTAAGGCCATGCTGCCGTGCCCTCGAGCTCCTCCACAGAGGAGCAGCCACCCCAGGAAGTGCTGCAGGCTCCTCGGGGTGCTATCAGAGGGTGACCTGGGCATGACCACCAGCTCAGAGGAAGCAAAGAGGCTGCTGCTAGTGAAAGAAGAAGTGAAGTGAGAGTGTGGTGTCTGGGGCTGGAGTGAAGGGAGCAGAGAGAAGCGAAGTGGGGGTGCAGGTGTGGGGCAAAGGGAGAGGCCACTCACAGACGCCTACCGACTTCCCCTTCTTCCTGCGGAAGCAATAAGACAGCCGCGGAGGGAGCAGCGGAGACAGCAGCGGCAGCTTCACAGGTCAGACCCCTCTGCGCCTCTCCCACTCTCCCCTGCCCAGTTCTCTATCCTTATCCACAGGTCCCTCAGTGGGCACTGGGCATACCCATGCCCAGATGGGCACAGGTGTGGCGACAACCTGAGTGAGCAAGCTGGGGACCCACCCTCCTTCCATTTCTGGTTGGCAGCTTCGCATCTGGGGGAACGTAGAGATCTATGCTTTTGGAAGGAGAGGCGATTTAAATTAAGATGTGATTAGGCATGGGGCTCGAGTCTTAGCTTCCCCATGGGGTCTGGGTCAAGTGAAGGGAGGTTTCTTTTCTGGACCTCAATTTCTCATCTGTAAAATGGGGCGAGTCTGGGAACCTGCACCCTGGATGGCTGTCAGGGGCTCTGTAGAGGGCCTAGCACATAGTTTGTGCTTGGCAATGGAGGAGGTGCAGTTCCTTTCAGAGCGCCCTGGATTGGATCCTGGGGACAGCATGTCTCTGGGAAATGGCCCTGCTGCTGGCTTGGTCACAGATGTCCTTTTGGGCTCTGGTGTGGCTTCTCTTTTCCCACCTGTGAAATGGGGTTACTAATAGCATCTCTTAGGGCTTTTTTTTTTTTTTTTTTTGAGATGAAGTCTCACTCTGTTGCCTAGGCTGGAGTGCAGTGGCACGACCTTGGCTCACTGCAACCTCCACTTCCAAGGTTCAAGCAATTCTCCTGCCTTAGCCTCCCAAATAGCTGGGATTACAGGCGTGTGCCACCACGCCCAGCTAATTTTCATAATTTTAGTAGAGACGGGGTTTCACCATGTTGGTCAGGTTGGTCTCGAACTCCTGACCTCAGCTGATCCACCTACCTCAGCCTCCCAAAGTGCTGGGATTACAGGTGTGAGCCATGATGCCCAGCCTCTTAGGGCCTTTTTGCAGAGACCACAGGTTGATTGATTTCTCACCCAGGCCAGGGAGAGGCCAGGGGCAGGGGCTCCAGACTGTGGTTGGCAGGGGCAAGTGAGGCTGTGTGAGGAGAATGGCTGGCTCAGCAGGCCCCTGTGCTGCTGGGGAGAGGTGGGCTTTGGGGGTGCATGGTCAGCTCTAGGGAGGATGGCAGGGGTTCCCAAGCCTTGTGCTCAGAGGCATTCCTGGCCGAGGACTTTGGTCAGAATCCTGGAGGCTGAGGCAGGAGAATTGCCTGAACCCAGGAGGCGGAGGTTGCAGTGAGCCGAGATCGCGCCGTTGCACTCCAGCCTGGGTAACATGAGTGAAACTCCGTCTCAAAAAAAAAAAAAGAATCCTGGACCTGGCTCACGGCCTGATTCCCAGGAGACGACCATAGAAATTGTTGTTAGAGTTTCTCTTTCTGGGAAATAGTTTTCCTTGGCCTCATTTTATAGATGAGAAAACCTGAGGCACAGAGAGGTCAAGTGCCTTGCCCAGTGTCACACAGCCCAGGCACAATACTGGAAATGGTTATCAAATTTTTATCTTCCGAAGCCTCCGTCCTGTTTTCCATAGTACCTCATCTCTCTATTGGCCTAAGTAGAGTCTTTCTTGTCTACACAGTACCTCAGCTACCCAACCATCTTTGGGAGGCTGCAGCGTGCAGGGGGTAGTGCCCTGGACCCTGGAGGCCTGGGTTGAGTCCCAGCTTGCCCGCTGACCTGCTGTGGAAACACAAGCAGACTCCTTCTGTGCAGTATTTAGTTTCCTCACCATCAGCTGGAACCATCCTGGAAGTCAGGTAAGGGATTGCTGTTTCCTAGAGGGCCCCAAATAACAATTGCAGGGTGGAAACTGAGATGGCTGAGCGTGTGGGGCATCGTTGCATGGTGACCTCTCTGGAGGGATGTGGAGGGGAATTTGGAGGCTGCAAGCAGAAGTGAAGACCGTGGTTTGCTCATGGGAAAATGGGTGGAAACCACAACTTCTATCTGGAGTGCCCTGGGGGAGGTGTCACTTCTGCTTTGGCCTCAATTTACCCAGTTGTGTGGTGGGATCAGGCTCTTCTTCCCTTGGTGCCTGCCTGGAAGCAGTATGGGTAAGGACCTGGTCATAGGGGCTGTACTCTGCAGGTCAAATCCATCTGTCTATCTGGGCCTCAGTTTCCCCAACAGTACAGTGAAGGGGCAGACAGGTTGGCCCAAGGTCCTTCCTGTGCTATCAGGTCCTCCACTACTGGACCTGTTTTCTCACTTAAATTATTTCATTCAGTAGCTTCTTTTGTCTCTCCAAACCCTTTTGCTTTTTTTTTTTTTTTTTTTGAGACAGAGTCTCACTCTGTCACCCAGGTCGGAGTGCAGTGGAACAATCATGTTTCACTGCAGCCTTGACCTCCCAGGCCCAAATAATCCTCAGCCCCCCAACCAGCTGGACCACAGGCACATGCCACCACGCTGGGCTAGGTTTTTTAATGTTTAATTTTGTAGAGATGGGGGTCTTGTTATGTTGCTCTGGCTGGTCTCAGCCTCCTGGGCTCAAGTGATCTTCCTGCCTCAGCCTTCTGAAGTGCTGCGATTAAGGCATGAGCCACCGCACCCGGCCCCCCAAATCCTTTCCCTTGTCTTTTCTCTGAGGTTCTGAGAGGGTAAGTGAATAGCATGCCAATAAATAACCAAATAGCTGTGGGAAGAAGGTTGCCCAGGTGCCAAGGCAAGAGAATTGAAGGCACAAGCTGTCCCAGTATAATAAATAACTGATTACTTAGTTTTAGCAATGATACAAAATATATTTAGAAACAATCACAAAATCAATTATATAATCCTATTAAATCACGATTCTTTATTAATCTTCGCTTTAGTATTACAGCATATAATTAGTTTAGTCTTACGGTATAGACAATCAGGTGAAATATAGTTAGGAACTGAAGGGACCTGTGAGGCTGATCAGGAAGCGAGAGTGAGAGCCTTGTGGTAACATCCGTGCCTGGGAAGGTGCCCGTTACTTAGCAGGCCATGAAGGGGAGTTTCCCTTTCACTAGGGGAGTCCAGAGAACACTCTGCTCTGCCCGGGTCTTGAGGAAGGCCCGACATTAGCCAGGCCTGCCCACAGACATCCAGGGGCTTAAATGCCTCTCTGTGGTGCTGTGCTCCCACGGTCACCATCCTTGTCACTTTCATGTTCTGCTTTCTCACCCGGTGCTCTTCTTAAGTTCTTAGAAGTCATGAGAAGTAAGAATAGAGGAATCCTAAAAGCCTTTGATCTTTCTGATGAGTGCATAGAGAGATGCTGACCTAAGTGCCACCCCTCCTTGCAGCGGCTCCCTGAGAGGGGGGGGTGCCCCGTACTGTAAGCATGTGATTTGCTTGACCCTATCCATCACGTCAGATGAGTCACTCTCCTTACCCTGCCCCCCGCCCTGTATACAATAAATATCAGCGCATCCAGGCATTCGGGGCCACTACTGGACTCCGCCCTTGGTAGTAGTGGTCCCCAGGGCCTGGCTGAGTTCTTCTCTTATCTCTGTGTCTTGTGTCTTTCTTTCCTGCGATCTATTGTCTCTGCACGCAAAAGAACACCCACTGGACCCTGCGAGGCTGGACCCTGCAAATAGCCAAATAAATAAGAACCCAGTCTTCTGTGACCCCCTGTGCTGGGTCTCGCTATGTTGCCTAGGCTGGTTCTTGAAGTACTGTGATTAAGATGTGAGCCACTGCACCTGGCCCCCCAAATGATTGGCCTGGCCTCAGGTGATTCTTCTGCCTTAGCTTGGGATTACAGGTGCAAGCTATGGCGCCTGGCTGTACACATTTTCTTTTTAAAGAATACAGATAATTCTTAGTAGTGAAATGACAATCTGTTGCATATTTTAACTTTTAATTTTGGAAAAATTATAAATTCACAGAAGGTTGCAAAAAATTGTCCAGAAGGTTTTGTACACCCTTCACTTATTCTCTGGTAGTAACATCTTGCATGCCTATAGTATAATTTCAAAGCCAGGAAATTGTCTTTGGTACAGTTTTCAAACTTCATTCTGATTTCGCCTGTTTTATACACTCATTTTCATATGCTGGTTCTTTGGTAAGTGTTTTTTTTTTTTTTTTTTTTTTGAGACGAAGTCTCACTCTGTTGCCCAGGCTGGAGTGCAGTGGCACAATCTCTGCTCACAGCGACCTCCGCTTCCTGGGTCCAGGTGATTCTCCTACCTCAGCCACCCGAGTAGCTGGGACCACAGGCGCGTGTCACCACACCCGGCTAATTTTTAGTATTTTTAGTAGAGGCGGGGTTTCACGGTGTTAGCTAGGATGGTCTCAATCTCCTGACCTCGTGATCCTCCCGCCTCGGCCTCCCAAAGTGTTGGGATTACATGCGTGAGCCGCTGCGCCCGGCCCCTGGTAAGTGCATTTTAACTTTATAAGAAAGTGCCAAACTGTTTTCCTTGCAATTTTATGACATGATAAAATAAAAGATTCCTGTAAACACCACCATGATCAAGACACACAACTGCTCCATCGCCACAAGGATCCCTTGTGGTAGGCCTTTAAAAAAACACACTCCCCCGCCCTAACCCTTTGCAACCACTTATCTGTTCTCCATCTCTATCATTTTGTCATGTCAAGTCTGTTATACAAATTGAATCCCACAGCATGCAACATTTTGAGATACGCTTTTTTTTTTTTGGCTCATAATAATTCCTTTAATAATCTTTAATGTGTGTGTACCTAATAACAGAAGCTTTGAAAAATAAAGCAAAAATTTATAACATTAAAGGGAGAAATTGACAAAGCAACACTTACAGTTATAAAATGAAAATACCAGAATTTCTCTGAAGATCCACAATCCAGAAGTGGAACCACTGGTCTTTTGACAGGGGCCATCTCAGTGGCATCACTGGAAAGTCCAGATTGCCTGACACAGTGGTAACCAATGACTGGGGGTCAGATCCCAACAGATGAGTTGGCTTAAGGGAGTTAAGTCTATGCTGAAAGACAGAAAGGGAGAAGAGGACATGAAAACGAATTTGGTTTTCCATAGCACAAGGCTTTTGTGTGCCAAGGTGGCCATGTGCGTCAAAGTCAGGGAATCCCTCTTCCTGGGAGCCAAGAGGAAGTCTCTCAAAACTAGAAGGGAAAGGTGTTTTCCCTGTATCAGTCCAGATTCAGAGACATTCTTTTAGTGACATATGCCCCTTCCCCGCAAAACAGCAATGAAGTGTTCCGTGTGCTAACAACATAGCTTAAAAAAAAGGTAAAACAAAATTCTACATTTTTGTAAAAATTGATAAAAAATAGTATTTCAAACTGTACAGTCACCAGAACTACACAGTTATAAAAAAATGCACACACTGCATTTGGCATCTCCGGCATCTTTAGCTTTCTGTGCCCGGTCTGTTTTGGTATCTCCATTTTCCATTTTCTGCAGGGTTATTCCCCTCCTTGCCAGCAGCCACATTTCCCTTTTTCCCTTAGGGTACCTTCTCTCCCTTCTTTGGAGGGGCCTTTTTAGGCTTGGGCTCTGGCTTTGGAGGAGTGGGCTTAGCAGACAACTTCGCAGATCTTTTCTGTGGTTTGTCCTTCACCTTGGCTTTATCTCCTTTAGCATCGCCTTCAGCCTTTCTCTTGGGCATGGTGGCGGCGGCTACGGCAGCGGGTTGTAGGATCTGGGCACAGGATGCAGGGGCGCATGGGATGCAGGGGTGCGCAGGATGCAGGGGTGCGCGGGCTTTGGTCGGTCCGGGGGTCATTCTCACCTCTTCTTCTTCACACTGCTCCCATAGTATTCTTGTATCTCTGCTATTGCCTTACTGGCTATATCTTATCATTTTCTCTTTTTTTGTAATGGCACTCTAGGATTTAAATACATATATTTAACTTTCCACAATTTACCTTCGAATAACATTATGGTACTTAAAATATAGTTTAATAACCTCACAACCAAATACGTCCATTTCCTCCTTCCTGCCTGTTGTGCTATTTTTGTGGTACTCTTCTACTTCTACATATACTGTGATCCCCACAATGCATTGTTACTATTTTTGCATTAAACAGATATTAAAACCAAGGAAATTTATTTTATATTTGACACATTTTTGCCAGTTTCACTACTCTTCATTTCTTTGTGTAAGTTTATTTCCAACTGGCATAATTTTCCTTCTGCCCTAAGAATTTTCTTCAATATTTATTTTAGTGCCGATCTGCTGGCAGTGAATTCTCTAACTCCTTGCTCATCTAAAGAAGTTCTTATTTTGTCTACTTTTTTTTTTTTTTGACAGGGTTTTGTTCTTGTCATCCAGGAGGCTGGAGTGCAATGGCATGATCATGGCTCACTGCAGTCTTGACCTCCTGGACTCAAGTGATCCTCCAGCCTTCCTCCTGAATAGCTGGGACTACAGGTGCATGTCACCACGCCTGGCTATTTTTGTATATTTTGTAGAGACAAGGTTTCGCCATGTTGGCCAGGCTAGTTTTGAACTCCTGGGCTCAAGCGCTCCACCCACCTCAGCCTCCCAAAGTGCTGGAATTACAGATGTGAGCCACTGCACCCGACCCTGTCTTCATTTTTGAAAGATATTTTCACTGGGCATGGAGTGTTAGAATGACAGATTTTTATTGATTGATGTGGCTGCATTATCGTCTGCTTTGTATAGTTTCTGATAAGAAGTCTCTTGTAGTTTGCATCTTTTATCTTCTGGGTACAATGAGTCTTTTTTTTTTGGCCGACTTCAAGATTTTATCTTTGATTCTGCAGCAGTTTGACTAGAATGTATCTAGATGTGTTTTTCTTTGCTTTTATTCCATGGGCTTTTGCAGGGCTTCTTGGATCATGGTTTGTTGTTTTTTATTAATTTTGGAAAATATTTGGCCATTTAAAATTTTCTTTTCTTTCTGTTTCTACTTATTCTTCTCTCTTCTCTCTCCTTTAGCTAGGATTCCAATTATATATATACAGACCATTTGCACAGTTCTTGGGTAGTCCGTTGGTATTTATTTTCACTCTTCTTACTCTTTATATTTCAATTTGGATAATTTCTATACACTATCATCAAGTTCAAAGATTCTTTACTTTGCTGTGTCCAGCTTGCTGATAAACCCATTGAGGGAATTCTTCATCACTGATATTGAGGTTTTCATTACTAACATTTCTGCTTGACTAGCCTTAATAGTTTCCATCGTTCTGTGGAAATTTCCTATCTGTTCCTATCTATCTACCTTTTTCACTCCACCCTTTAAGATATTTATTATAGCTAGCTTGTTTCTATCTGATAGTTCCCACATTTTGGCCATCTCTAGATCTGGTTCTGTGTGTCTTAAAATCTTTGATTAGTTACCAGGCATTGTGTGTAATAGAACAGTAGTAAAGTAAATGATATTTATGCCTAGAAATTGGAATATTTCTTATGTCATGGCTGTAGTATAGGGCATCAAGTCAATTTAATCTGTAGTTGATTAAGGTTTACGTTTTATTTATTTATCTGTTTATTTAGAGATGGAGTCTCACTATGTTGCCCAGGCTGATCTTGAACTCTTGCGCCCAAATGGTCCTCCTACCTCAGCCTCCCAAAGTGCTGGGATAACAGGCAAGAGCCACAGTGCCCAGATGGATTTAGGTTTTGTTGTTGCTCTAATTACCTTCTACAGGCTCCAGATTTCTCCAGTGGTGGACTGTCCCTGCTTTGTGTTCAGTATGAGGACTTGAGTCCCACAGGAATTTTCCCAGCATTCCCGCTCCGCACTCAGCATGGCATGCATGTAACACAGAGGAAACCTCTCTTCTTGTTGCAGTCTCTTCCCCAGCGGTAGACTGCTGTTACTTCATGCTTGGTGCAAGGCTTGTGGTAGAGGCAGTGAATTCTTAATTCCCCTGCTCTAGCTTCAGCCTTAGACAGTCTTGAGCCTGAGCCCCAGGAGCGGGGCTTTCTCCGTGTTCCTGTTTCTCCTCCGGTTGTTGAGAACCTCTGCCTCTTATGCAGTGCAGTTACTAGAATCCAGGCAGACTTCCTCTGCTTCACCCCCCTGGGAACGAAACTCTGCCTTATTAGTTGGGGGATCTTGAGTGGGAGTGAGGTTCCTGCTCTTTTCGCAGTGGTAGGCACCGCCCTCTGTTTTATAGCAGTGCAGAGTCCTGGGCACTAATGGGTGTCCTCTTCCTTGCCAGTGTCCAGTGGCTTTTTTTTGTTTGTTTTCTTTTGAGACAGGGTCTCACTCTGTTGCCCAAGATGGAGTGCAGTGGTGCTGTCGCAGCTCACTGCAGCCTCCAACTTCACAGGCTCAGGTGTTTCTCACACCTCAGCCCCCTGAGTAGCTGGGACAACAGGCGTGTACCATCTCACCTGGCTAATTTTTTTTTTTAGAGGCAGAGTTTTACTGTGTTGCCCAGGCTGGTCTTGAATCCCTGGGCTCAATCAATTCACCCACTTCAGCCACCCAAAGTATTGAGATTACTGGCATGAGCCAAAGCACCCGGCCCTGATGGCTTTTGCGTAGTGTCACTGTAGCAGTGGTTGGAGGGTCTTCTCCTCCAGCAGAGGCAGTCCACATTTGCCTTGTAGCAGGTCAGGGACCTGTGGGATGGGCATCTTACATCAAAGCAAAGCCAGGGTGCAGGTGTTTATCTCTCAGGGGCAGCCAGTTCCCAGTGTGCACTCAGGCAGGCCCCAGAGCACAGATACACTTCTCCAGGTCCTCCTGCTCCAGCACGTTCTGCATGGCTATGTCATCATGGGGTTCTCTCGGGCCCTGTCCCATGCCACGTCATTCTCATGGGCGTCCAGTGGAGGACCGTAGGAGGAAGCTGTCTAGAGGGCACAGGCTATCTTGTGTCTAGGGCTCCCAGTAAACTGCCACTCTCGCTAATGCTCAGCCATTAGGAATTCATTAAGGTATTAGTCATTTTCTCCTTATCTACATTTGTGGCAACTACCTGTTCCTCCATGCTCTGTCAGTGTGAAACAGATCATGTGTTTCATCCAAAAAAGATAACATGTTCTGGTTATCTCCAGAAACCAGTTTACTTGGTGGCCTGTGACCTCAGCTCTCCAGTAAGCTAAAAAAAAAAAAAAAAAAAAAAAAAATTTGTACATTATTTGGCTTTCCCTTTGCTATGATGGAAACAATGTTCCCATGTGGCTCTCTACTTTCTAAGTGGAAATCAAAATCATCTTAATATGGTTTTTACACAATTAAAAAAATCTCCCACTCAATGTTTCGATTATGACTATATACATTCCATTCCATATTAAGTCAAGTTGTGTAGCAGCATTCTATTTTCTTTCTTGTACAACTTGGTTTTCTTGAAATTAATTGCTTCTTTTTATTTTTGTATTTACAAATTTTCTGTAAGACATCTCAGAAAACAATTTTTCTAGATGCCCAAACCTATTGGATAGTCTCTCTCCTCTCCTTTTCCTCTTCCTAATTTTTTCTTGAAGACCTCCCTCCAGGGGCATTCTTTTCTCCTGCCCCTCCAGATGGGAAATGCCCTAGTCCTGCTGCTTGACATCAACCTGGGCCTTCCCTTCACACATTGGCTGGGGAGTAGCTTTACCTCTCCCACGGTAGGATACAGGACGTGTCTTCTTTCATGATTGACTTTCATTTTGTTGGAGCACATCCTCCAGCAGCTTCTCAAGAAACGGTGTGTGTTTTGAAATACTCAGTAATCCTTGGTTGATCATTCATCTTTAAGAGTGGAGCACTAAAAACCTAATTGCTTGGCAGAGCTTGGTGACTGGTGAAATGTCACTGTAAGTGAGGTCTCGCATGACACTGAGGAACATAAAAATGGCAGTAGTTATAGGATGCTGTTCTTGGAATGCTCAGCTCTTCAGACGTTTCTCCTGCCTCAGGGCATAACCCTGGCTGCTGCAGTCTTCTGGAATCTGATGGGGGGAGGACGTGGGGAGGGGATACTGTTTAATTGCCCCTTTCCCTCTGATTCTCTATGGTAATCCTCTCTCCAGAGAGTAAACTTTGTGTGGAGCAGGACTGGGGTTGGTGGGATGCTGAGGAAACTCCCGGATACTCGAGGTGGCTGGGGAGATCTGGGGATTGAGTTGAGCATTTTAAAGCCTTACAACCAACAATCCCTGTTTTTATTTTATTTTTTTTTATTGTTTTGAGACAAGGTCTCATTCTGTTGCCCAGGCTGGAGTGCAGTGGTATGATTTTGACTCACTGCAGCCTCCACCTCTTGGGTTCAGGTGATTCTTCCACCTCACCCACCTGAATAGCTGGGGATACAAGCACAGGCCGCCACACCCAGCTAATTTTTGTATTTTTTTTGTTTGTAGAATCAGGGTTTTGCAATGTTGCCCAGGCTGGTCTCAAACTCCCGGTCTCAAGCGATCCTCCCACCTCGGCCTCCCAAAATGTTGGGATCACAGGCATGAGCCACCGTGCCCGGCCAACAATCCCTGTTTTAGCCTTTTCCTTCATCCCCACTTCAGAAATTCCTGATGCTTCCAGTTCTCAAGTGCTTCCAAGATGAAGCTTCTCCTCGTCTTCCCCCCGCATCCTACCTTTCCCCACCGCAGGCACTTGGGGTCAACATTTTTTGGTCTGCTAAACGTCTTACAATGTGACACCGACTTTGTAGCCTCCGAAGTTTTGCTGACATCTCCCCTCTCTGTGGTTGTTTTCTTTCCCATTGTTCTGTCCTTGTGCCCATTTTCTGGGGAGTAGTTTTACCTCTCTCACGGTAGGGTACAGGAACCCCTGTGCCCTGGGTCTTCTTTCATGATTTACTCTCTCATTTTGTTGGAGCACATCCTCCAGCAGCTCCCCGAGAGGCTTTGTGCCTCTTTTCTTCCCCATTGTACTGTTTTTCATGCGTGTTTTCTTTCCCCTTGTTCTGCTGCTTTGTGCCTATTTTATTCACTCCCTCTCATTTTAGTGGGGCTTTAAGGGGCAGACATAAATTTGCTCCATTGAAGCAGAAGTTTATTAGTTCATTTTAAAATGGAGGAAAATGAGGGCAGAGAGAGAGACAGATCCTACCCAAAGCCACATGATGAGTTAGTGGCAGGGCTGGATGGGTTTTGCATGTTGCTTTCTCCCAAACACCTCCCTGCTGCGTAGAGGCTGGGGTCCTGGCGAAGCCCCCAGAGAGACTGTTTTTTGGGAGGGGGCGTGTGTCAAGCAGAGCTGCTAATGGTAGCATTACTAGGTGGTCATGGAGTCTGCAGTTTTAAGAGAGCTGGCTTCAGGCAGCTTTAAGAAAAGCAAGTCCCTTTGCCCTTCAGCCTCAGCTTCCTCATCTGTCAAATGCAGGATGGATGAGGATCAAATAAGA